TGGCGGGAGCCTGGGCACAATGTGGGGCTTTCCTTGAGGGGGGACAGGGCCCCATTTTGGGTCCCTTTATGAGAGAGCCATGTCACTGAGCTGGCCCCAGCTGGGTCACCCCTGAGGGGGGTATTTGGTGGCCAGACCCAGGCTTCATGGAGGGGGGACCTGGCCTCCTGCACCACGGCCTCCCGGGGGCTGACGCGGGCCATGCTGCAGCAGAGGCGGCGGCGCTGGTGCTGGTGGCCCTGCTATGGGGTGGCACCGGGCCGCTGAAAAAACGCCGCGGGCCGGGAGCATGGGCGGGGCCGGGGCCGCCTGCGGCAGCTGCTCGCCGAGATCCGCTTCCTGGGCCTCAACTACAAGGTGCGAGCGCGGCCCGGGGGGGTTACACTGCCTTTCGGGTCACCTCTGTCCCCCCACTTCAAGCCTGGAACTGCTAAATAGTCCAGCTGTCACCAGAATGATTTGTGCTCCCTGATATTTAATTCGTTCGCCCACCACCCTGCTCTCCCCTTGCAGCATTTAGGCCACTTTGTAGACAGCAAGGCACTAAGGCTCTTATTTTGCCTAAAATAAGCTCCATCTGCCTTTTTTGCATCGGGAAACTGCCACGTCGAGCAGCAGAATCCCAAATGTGCCGCATTCCCGCTGCTAAACATATCCAAGGAAGAGGGTCCAGGTTCCCTCCCTGCCGCTCCTGGTGCTGCTTCCATGGGGGACACGACGGGTTTGCACACAGTGACCGATGAACTTGTGTTCTCCCCGCAGTACGTGCTGCCGTTTCTGCTCAATCAATGCGGATCGCTCCTTTTCTACCTCACCTTGGCATCCACAGGTTGGTTCTCATTGCATTTGTGGCCCGAGTGGATTGGGATATGGGGAGCAGCAGCCTTATCCCGCAGTCAGGTGGCCTAGCAGCTGCTATGGAGCAAAGTCACTGCCATACTTAGTGCCAGGGATTTGTGCAGGATCCCTCTTTTTTAAGCTGTGTTGAAACTGCTGCATTTCAGACCTGTCCCTGGCCGTACCTCTGTGCAACTCCCTGGCTTTGGTAGCCACGTTAGTGACCGGCAAGATTCTCGGAGAGGACATTGGTGGTAAAAGTAAGTTGGACTTGAAAGGCCTTTTGTCACAGTGCCTCCTGCACGGGCTGCTAACGTGGTAGCATAGACTACCATGTTTAGGTGTGATCCTGGTGTAGTTTTGGTGTGGATGCTGTTATGTTCCTGCTGGGGCTGTGG